TAGCAGGATTTCTATGCATTTGTTAAATATAAGCCCCACCCCTATAATAAGACCTAGTGATGGGCGTGGCTATGCTGTGTATCTGCATAGCCACGCCATGCATTTCAGCATGGAGAGTGGGAAAACATTCCCTGAAAATAAGCCCTAGTGTGTCTTCTTGAGAAAAAATAAATATAAGACAGTGTCTTATTTTCAGGGAAACATGGTAGGATTACATGAGCCACTACTCCTGGCAGAATATACCCATTCAGATCAAGGTGGTCCCAAGGTAAAGGATGCATTTGGATTGGATTGTCTTGTTTGGTTTTTTTTCATTGTTTTTTGAGAAACAATGTCTAACTCTGTTGCCCAGGCTGTAGTGCAATGGGACAAAGATAGCTTACTACAGCCTCACTGAACTCAAGCAATCCACCCATGTTGGCCTCCCAGAATGCAAAGATTACAGATGTGAGCCACTGCACCCAGCCAGAGACCTTTTCATGTACCAAGCTTTTGGCCATGCCAGTCCCTCTGGAGGGCTCTGTTCAACTCTACTTCATCCTTTAAGCAGCAGGTCAGTTGCTGCCCTTGGTTGTGGGATTATTGTTGGCATTGATGCTACAGAAATCACGGTGATTTTACTTCACATTGTGTGTGGCCACTGAGTTTATGTACTTGTCTGTATGGGATTGGTCTTTGTATATAATCTAGACAGAATGATGAAAAGGTAATTGCCGGGCAGCACCTGTGGCTCAAAGGAGTAGGGCACTGGCCCCATATACTGGGGGTGGTGGGTTCAAACCTGGCCCCGCCAAAAACTCCAAAAAAAGAAAAAAAAGGTAACTGCCTTCTGGAACAAAAGTTTGTTATCTAAAAGGGAATTGAGATCCAATGAAGAAGTTACTTGGAGGCAGGGGAAGGTGGCTCACACCTGTAATCCTAGCATTTAGGAGACCAAGGCGGTCGGATTACCTGAGCTCATGGGTTTGAGACCAGAGCAAGACCTCTTCTCTAAAGATAGGCAGGCACCTGTAGTCCCAGCTACTTGGGAGACTGAGGCAAGAGAATTACTTGAGCCCAAGACTTTGAGGTTGCTGTGAGCTGTGACACAACAGCACTCTACTGAGGGCAACATAGTGAGACTCTGTCTTAAAAAAAAAAGGGTGGCGCCTGTGGCTCAGTGAGTGGCACCTCGGCCCCAGATAACGAGGATGGTGGGTTCAAACCCTGCCCCAGCCAAACTGCAACAAAAAAATAGCGGGCATTGTGGCAGGTGCCTGTAGTCCCAGCTACTCGGGAGGCTGAGGCAAGATAATTGCCTAAGCCCAGGAGTTGGAGGTTGCTATGAGCTGTTTGACATCATGACACTCTACCGAGAGTGATGAAATGAGACTCTGTCTCTAAAAAAAAATAAAAGAAATCATTTCTTTCTGATTTCTTCTCAGTCATTAGGTGCCTTTCCTGGCACTAAGAGGAATGAGTGAAGTAGCTGGGATTATAGGCGACAGCCATAGCACCTGGCTATTTTTAGAGGTGGGATCTCTGCATGTCTTCCCTGGTCTGTTCTTTTTGGCTGTTTGCCAGAAGTGAGTCATAGCATCAGAGAAGAGCCCTTATGGCACAATAATGTGTGGGCCTTGTTACCATTTTAGGAAATACCAAAAAAAAAAAAAAGTGAAGACTGAAAAGGTGCCTGATTTGGCTAACTTTCCACTAGGTTCAATTCAGCCAGTTCTCTATTTGGTAAGTGCATAAAATAAGCTATTTTAGGATCTCAGTCCATTTTCTATTGCTTAGTAAAGAAATTTGTTTCTTATAATTCTGGGGAATGAGAAGTCCAAGGGCTGGCTCAGCATCTGGTGAGGGTCCTCATACTGATGAGGACTTTCCGCAGAGTCCTAAGGTGGTACAGAGACTCACATGGTGAGGGGCATGGGCATGATAGCTCAGGTCTCTCTTCTTATAAAGCCACAAGTCCCCACTGGTATGATAACCTATTAATTCACCAACTCATTAATCCATACAGAATTGCATAGCCCTCATACATGCATAGCCCTCACCTCTTCCTTTTTTTCATTTTTCATTCTTTCTTTCTTTCTTTCCTTTTTTTTTTTGAGACATAGTCTCACTTTTTTGCCCTTGATATACTGCCATGCATCATAGCTCACAGTAACCTTAAAGTCTTGGGCTCAAGTGATTCTCTTGCCTTAGCCTCCCGAGTAGCCAGGACTACAGGTGCTCACCACAACTCCCAGCTATTTTTTTTACAGACAGGGTCTCACTCTTGCTCAGGCCAGTCTTGAACCCGTTAGCTCAGGTAATCCACCTGCCTCAGCCTCCCAGAGTGCTGGGATTATAGGCATGTGGCACTGCGTGTGGCCGCTCTTTTTTCTTTTTTCTTTTTTTTCCTTTTTGACCTGGGTAGAGTGCTATGGTGTCACAGCTCACTCACAGCAACCTCAAATTCTTGGGCTTAAGTGATTCTCTTGCCTCAGCCTCCCAAGTAGCTGGACCTTTTATTCTGTTTTTTTTTTTTTGAGATGGAGTCTTACTCTGTCACCCCAATTAGAGTGCAGTGGCATCAGCTTAGCTCACTGAAATCTCAAATTCCTAGGTTCAAGTGATCCTTTTGTTTCAGTTTTCCAAGCAGCTAGGACTATAAGATAGTGCCACCATGCCTAGCTTATTTTTCCATTTTTTGTAGAAATAAGGTGTCTTGCTCAGATTGGTCTCGAACTCCTAACCTCAAGTGATCTTCCTGCCTCAGACTCCGGAGTACTTGAATTATAGATGTGAGCTACCACCTGGCTCTTTTGTTGTTGTTGTTGTTTGTTTGGTTTTTTTTTGTTTTTTTGTTTTTTTTTGAGACAGAGCCTCAAGCTATCCCCCTGGGTAGAGTGCCATGGCATCACAGCTCATAGCAACCTCCAACTCCTGG